AGGAATGATCAAATTGCCGCGAACGCGTTAATAGAACACAATAGTCAAGAGTTCAACTCAAGACTGGAAGGGTTTTATAATATGTCATAGTAATTATCCAAATTCAGCTAAACTGGAAACTTTCAAAACTGTTATTATTCCGACTTTCGAAGAAAATGAGGAATATAAATGCTCGGGGTGTTTTGTTTATTCTAACGAATTTGACAAAACTCTTCGCTCTCTCAGGGGATCAATCTCTTGGTTTGCATGTGTCCAGCCGGGGGTGCACACCACTTTGTTATCCTCCCGCAAGTTTTTCTAAACTGCTCGTTCTATATTTTACAAGTGGAAAACCATACCTCACTGAAAATCGTTCCAAATTGAACTGCGGCTTATAGCTACTTGGTTTTATCAATTCCATACACGAATTAATATTTAACAACTAAAAATTGATTTTAGCAGCCCAAAACTCATAGTTTTGTCAGTATTGAACTTATCAAAAATAGTTCGATACCAATTAAAGGGTAGTCGGAACATCCAGTATTGTTTCGATTCACCTAGCTCTAAATAAGTAAATAATACAAATAACCAAATTTCCTTATTTATCTGTTCTAATTTAACCCTAACTTGCTGTAGCAGTTACGCAAACGCTTGTTTCATTATAGCAGCTACTCGTTAAAATTAGGCTCAAAAAACTGCGTTCTTTTGAGTTTAAGACTGGAAGAGTTTTAAATATGTCACAAGACCGTTTTGATGATTGTTTGTGATGACTGATTTTGTGTGGGAAAAAACACACTCGAAATGAAGACAAAATTACTTCCAACTTTCAGACGTCGGAGCAACAAAACTGATGGTATGAAGACTGCAGTAGCTCTAAAAGTTCGTACTTCCGCTTAACAAATCTGTTTCTGGCAAAAAGAAAGTTTCAAAAAATTGAAGTTTTTTTTTTATAATTTTCATTATTTTAGCAAACGCAAAGTTAAGTTGAAATTGATCAATTTGTCGTCTTTTAACCAATATTTTGATCCATTAACTAGCTTTCAATATGGAATGTTTTTCACCCTTTGCTATGCGTTAACAAAAAAAAAACGGAAATATTGCACAAACTAATTATCCCAAATTAGCCAAATTAGCTGTGTTCAAAAGCGAACCAAATTACAAAAATGCATGACAAATGAATTGTCTTATAAAATTGGTGACACGAAATCAATCATGGAAGTTTTAAATAAGTTACCCCTTGCTCTAATATTTCGTCATTCTTCCGACTTTCGAAGAAAAAGCTTAATATTTATGCATAGGTCTTTGTTTTTTATTCAGTCTGAGTGTTTTTGACAGAGTTTATACCATCTTGTGACACTCTTCAGCGGCGATATAATGTGTGCCAAATTTGGAAATCATTTGTTCTTTTTATTAGGATACGAGATGATATTCCTTTGTAGCCTTCATTTGTGCGTAGGGGGATAAATTTAAGAAGAAAAAACGTCAAAAAGAAGTTTTTATATTTCTTTAATTTTTATCGATCATTTTGTCATTTTGTCCACCACAGTTTATTTATTGTTCCGACTTTCGTAACGAAAGTAACGGAATATTTGTGCTTGGTTTGGATTTTTGTTTTCAGACAAATTTCAACTTTTTATCTAGCAGATAGTTCACCTGTGATCATTTCTGTAACGTTATGGGATTGTGAAAATTCCCTTTTTTGCCAATTTGGGACAACTAACGCCCGATAGGTTTTGCGTTTTTAAGGTGCAAGCGAAAATTTAATTCGTCTTAGAAATCGTTCCAAATTGGTTGAAGGAAGCTTATTTGCCATAATTGATTTGTTACTAGGAGCATCACTTGTTACTAGTCGGAACATTCAGGGCTTCGCCTTGATGCGAGTAGTCTTGTTTGGCTTTATAATGCAGTTAGAATTTCCAGGGCTTCTCCTTGATATACGAGCAGTCTTGTTCTGTTCTACAGTCATTATTCCGACTTCTGTGAAAAGTGCAAAAACATTATGCTTGGGGTGGTTTTTTTCATTCAGTCTACTCTCGTTTTTTTTCTAACTAAGCATTTTTGGCAAAATTTATTAAATTTATCTGAAAGATATTATTCTTTTGCGCTATTCTCAAAAAGTGATTCCGCCTGTGATCATTTTTTGCAAAAGATGGGGTTGAAAATTGCTAGTTTGGCCAATTTGGGATAATTAACTAGTAATACATTGCGTTCTTATAACACGCGTAAGCGGCGGTTTAATGCATTTCAAATTGAATTGAGGCAAGTCACTGGATCTTGTTTTTAGAATACAAGATGCTAAGTTTATCCCTTTGCAGTTCACATTAGCGTGTGGGGGGGGGGGGGAGAACTTAAGAATCTAATAAATTCGCGCAGTCGAAATATTCAGGGTTTCGCCTTGATATACGAGCAGTCTTGTTTTTTTCTAAAATCTAAGCAAAAAAAATGTGTTGCATTCGGTATTTTTTTTGTAAAAATGTTTTCTGCTTTGAGTTTTGTCTGTGAAAAATTAAAAAAACCTGTTCTTCAAATTTTAAAAACATGAAAATTAAAAAAACTCATGTTGAGTTTTTTTGTGAGATTAAAATTTTTCTTCTTGCTTAAGCAGTTGTTTTTGTTTTCGAGATAAATATTGAAAAATCAATCTAAAAATCAGTCTAAAAAAATCAATCAAACAATCAAAAAGTTGAGCATTATGGTCAAGTTTTCGGCGTTGTTTCCACAAAAGCGCTCAATCATCGCACAAAGCAGATGGGATAACGCGAACGCCTAAGTCTCTCAAGGTAGATAATAGTAAATCTAGGTGGTCCATGAACCATGATTCGTTGTTTTCGTTGAAGAGTTGACCGAATTTTTTTCCCGCACATTCAGGTCTGGCTCGAAATCAAAGACTCTTTAATTACCAAACCCCCCACAACCCCCTTACACATGCACACATACAAATACACACACACACACACACACACACACACACACACGCACACACACACACACACACGCAATATTTGGAACAAAATTGAGAACAATAGAGATCCAAGCAAAACAGTAGTTTTCCGTACTCCCTTAAAAACTCAAGACACACTAATTTGTTTTAAATAGTTGTTTCCAATGATGTGATAAAACTGCTCATGATTTGAACTTTCCCAGCTATGCTTACCTGTTTCCACCAAAAGAAATCATTTTCACAGTCTTTGCATTCGAAGGTGGGAGGGGGGGCACCCCATCGTTCGCGGGCTCCTACCCATTGTAACCCCAATCCCCCCGCCAGCCTAGCACCATAAAAACCAGGCCCCCTTACAGTAGGACCTTTGTAATATTGGGACTATAAATCCCAGGTGGACCATAATCAAAAATACTTTATTCGTGATTGTGCATTGAGCAGAAATCAGTTTATCCCATTGCAGGGAAAAATTTTGATTATGAAATTTTTCAAGAAAAACTTTGTAAGCACTCTTTGATTTAAACATTTTACTGCCCTCGATTTTACGAAAAAAAACCTCTAAAAAATTTCAATGATGAGAGATTGATTTTTCGAAGTTCTGAGAAATTCCTGTGTGTGTTTGTTTCTGTCGGGGACTATTAGCCGTACCCTCTTTTTGGTCGTTAATTTGCAGCGGTGTTCAGTTTAATGATACCATTACGGGACGACAGAAGAGGACATATCCTATTGATGCTAAACATCAAAGTGTATTGGGTTAAAATTCACACAATTTGGGCTCCAAGTTGAACAATTTGGTTGTAAAATTTCATGCTAAATTTGATCATGCATGTCGATGTAACATTTGATCAAAAGCGTTGATGCATAATTTGATGATATTTTTTCATTTCGCTTCATTTTTCAAATTCTCGCAAACCTTTCATTAAAATGAAACCAAAAAAGCTAATGATGGGTTTTTTCTGTGATTCTTTGAAAGATTCTGAGAAATCTAATGAGAGAGATTCTTTTTTATCAGGTGCATATATCCTGTTCCGATTTCCTCTCAGTGGCTCTTTTTTCAGTAAAAACATTTCTCTGAAAAATTTAAAGGCTGGGTTATCACAACATTTCATATATAATTAGTTTTTGAAAATTAAAAATTGGAAAATTTCATTACAAATTGCGTCTTCTATCCTTGCGCAATGCTTTGTTTAAAAATGCACATGATTAAACGAAGCCTTTTTTCTATTGGCCAAATGAATGAAAAATAATCAAATGGAGAACTGAAAGGAAAAAATGAAATAGCAAATGAAGCTATATACCATTTGAACAGCGATAATCATTCGCCAGTTTCTTTCATCCTAAAATTCCGTTTTCCTAATCATAGTTTTGAAATCCTTTTACTTTTTTTTCAACTATCTTTTCATACAAATCAAACAAAATTGTAAATTGAAGTGACAAATCGCCATAATTGGGTCAAAATAATTGATGGAGCAATTTTATCCGCGTTTAATTTTGTAACACAGCCAGAAAATAAATTTTGCCCGTTTTTTATATCGTTACTTGCATAAAATAGGCCGAAATAAGTATTCAAAACGGTGTTTATAAAAACAAATTATATATTTTAATGAATGCTTTTACAATGAATGCTTTTAAGCCAGATGGTTTCTAGCTAGAGTTTTTACCCCCCTTAGGATTTAATGGTGTCCCCGCATCAATCACGCATTCTTTACTTTCATCTGAGATAGTATGATTGTTTATATCCAATAAATAAATTATATAATCAGCTTTGAAGCCAAATACTGTTACTGCCAGGAATCGTGTTTTTCGGCATATTTTAGCTTATTTTCGGCGCCGATTCCGCTAAATTACCTGTTCTCGTGTTCAAATTTCACATTTTTGTTGTCAGATTACTCAGCTCTTACTAAAGCAAACGAAATTGGAATTCAAAATTACAAATGGAATATTGATTGAACTTACCTTTTGGATAAACTAATAAAAATTATATAGTTACATAATTAGCTATTTTAGCCCTAAAATGGACCTAGATAAGCTGAAAGGCTGTCACGGTCGAATAACACGTTACTGCAACTTCGGCTTAGTCGAAATGCACGAGTACGATTTATGGCTCGAACACATTTCATTTTACCTAAACGATACTTCGGCTCTGCTTTCTACAAACACGACAACCGTGACGTCATCGACTCTCGCATCCCTCTCGGCCTCTTCATCTTCTTCAGCGTCGGCTGGTTATGACGACTATGGAGAAATGGGAGAATCTGATTGGTCAGTTTTGTGTGACCAGTTCGACGCCCGTTATGCGAGGTTCTGGGATCAGTTGATGGCTGCTAACTGGGCACACATTTTCATTTGCATTCTCGGCATTCTCGTCAACTGCATTTGTAAGAATTCTGGGTTGCTTTTTTTAGCGACCCTTTTGTAGCATTGAACTGAATGCGCGGTTCTTTTCTTTTATTTCAGGCTAGGTCAATTTAGATTAAGTCAACTTCAGTAGCGGATTTAGGTTGGGGGGGGGGGGGGGCGAATTTGGCTTTTTTTTGGGGATTTGACCCCCTGATTTCCCGTTGGGTCTCGCAGTGGGTTTGTAAGACTTCTATTTTTAGTTGACGAAACCTATTCGATGGAATATATACTCGAATTTCGAGAGGGAGTGTCAGCCAAAAACCGCATTTTTTTAGTCAAATTCTTCCAAGAACTGCTTAAAACATTGTTTTTGGCCAGTTGTTTCGTTAAAAAAGTTCTCAAGAAAATTACACCGAAAATACCCAGTCGATCACAGACATAATTATTTCAAAGTGAGCCCCTTTACGCAACCCAACAAACTTTAAGAAGGGTATAATCTCCAAAATATTGTATAAGTTAATTTATTTTTGTTTGATAGACAAAAAAGGTCGTTTTTACTATATACAATACCAACTTTTTATTTTAAAACAATTTTTTAAACAATTTGCAATTTTTTTGGAGAAAATACCTTTCATAGAGTTTGTTGGGCTGCGTAAGGGGCTCACTTTGATATAATTATGTCTGTGATCGACTGGGTATTTTCGGCGTAATTTTTGATTAACTAAGAAAAGCCAAAATGACCCATTTTTGGGGTAAAATTTTGGGCCTGAATTTCGCAAAACAAATTACACCATAATAATTCTGCCAAAATTTTAAGCAAGTTTTGTCAACCTTTTTTTTTAGGTCGACCATATTGAATTTCCGAGCTCTGTCAAAGCACCAAAAAGGCCCTGTTTTGGCCAGCCCCCCCCCCCCCCCCTAATTCCGCCCCTGTTGAGAACTAAATAAAAGGTCCTCTTAACACAATTTCAAAAATTTTGAAATCTTCCAATTCTTCCAATGGGTTGGAAATTTTTGAAAAAAGGGGGGCGCCCAAAAAAACACTAAAAAACAGAAATTTTTGTCATATTTTCCAAATTGAAGCATGTGAACAATTGCCCACTAAACTAACACCCCTCTCAAAATTAAAGGAAAGCCAGAGCAAGTGTGACGATTCAAAATGCTGAGCTCTGATTGGCTGAAAAAGAATGAGTTCAACCAAGTAATTTGCTTTTGAGGGGAGGCTCTTCACTTGGGCCTTTTGACGAGAAAAGGAGTATCGCGAAAAAAACTTCGACCGATAAAAAATCAACGAAATTGGAGATTTTTGGAGAAATAGGGAATTTTTCAAATTCTTTTTGATTTCCGCAACAAAAAGACCTTTTTGAAAATAGCTTCCGAAAATAGTTTCCAAAACAATATGCAACATCATTTTGCCGTTTTCAGCCAATAACAGTTTTTTGCACGTTGACTGATTTCTTTAAATAGCCGTTAGTTTTTATGGGTGGGTGATTGCTCATATGGTTAGCTTCAAATTGGTTGGTTAGTTAGGAAAATTGTCGGTCCCGGCAATAACGCTAGATCTGCATTCACGAATACGATGAAAAACTGTCAGAGTTTTTTCTGATGTATATGGAAGTCTAACAAAACAATTCTGACTGTTTTATGACCCGCAATGACTTCATTCACTGCTGAGGCCTGCTGTATTTTCGCGTAATTTCATTGTGTACAGACAGCTGATCTTAAAAATGGTAGGGGTGCACTGAGCAGAATGTTCTAAGAGCTGAACGCTTGCAGGAGCAAAATCAGCTAATTAGCCGAAATAATATTTAGACCAAGTGAACAATCTCCCCCAAAATCAATTTATAATAAACCCGTCTTGTCTTCGAGTTTTAAGTTTAAAAAAAATACTTTTTCTAAATGCATTTCAACTTAATGACCTGAGACAACATCAAAAGGCATTGCCTCCTTTCGAGTGCCGTTTTAGGAGGGAGATTATTCAATTGGTTAAAAAATATTTTTCAGCCAATCAGATTTGAGCATGGTATATAGAGGCCTTACGGCTTGAATTTGCCATTTTTTTAGGGGGGAGGAGGGGGGGGGGGGGGGGGGGGGGTGAGATTGTCTACTTGGTCTAATAAAGAGGGAAATTGTTCACATTTTTCGAAAAAAAATATCGTTTTTTCTCTGAAAGTATGAAATATTTCTTTCTTTAGATTTTCAAGCCATAAAATTGTATTGTGGCAGCTTGTTGCAAAAACAAAAAGCGTTTTAAACAAAAATAGTTTTAGAATCGTATCTGAAGAATTATGGCTTTTTTTCCGTTTGCATAACTCGCATTTAAAAGATTACCACAAAAAGGGTCAATTTTGGTTGGGGTTTTTTTAGTATATCTTGAATTATACTCAGACTACCGTCCAAAAACTGCCGAAGAAGTTCTATCAAACTTATTCTCTTATGTAGTTCAAATATTTTAAAAAACGGTAAAATCTTAATAGTTTTTGTCCAAAACTGCCAATAATGCTCATTTGTACTAGATAAACTACCAATTGGCCATCAAAAAAATAAATGTTATCTTTAAAAAATTAGCAAACAAAATTTTCAGAAATTTTGTTGTGCAAAGGAGATTCATTTTAATGCGACCTAATCAATATTTTTGAAGCTAATATAGCACAGTTCATGATTGAAAAAAAAGAGCCGAAAACGATACATTTTCCTCATGTGAAATAATGTTTCCCGACTTTTGTGAAATAAATGCTTCTGAAAAAACCTAAGCAACTTCGATTTGCTTCAATAATCAATTTTCAATTTTGCGTATTTTGTCCGATAGTTTTTATCAGACCTGTTTAAAATCACAATTAACTTAAAGATGCTAGCTTTTTTTAAAAGTTCATTAAAATTTGTTTTAATCTAATGAATTCTTGCAAAATTATCAAAATTTTTTTGTTTTTCAATTAGAAAAAAAAACCCTAGATACTATGTTGGTCTCAGTGTGCTTCCACAGTAAGAAAAAGTTTCTGAACTTTTTTGTTTTTTAATATTAATTATATGTTTTCCAAAAAAACAGAATTTTTCTTTTTTTAAATTTTGCATCCACTTATATGTAGTTCAAATATCAAATCAATATTTATTTATATTCAATTTTAGTGAACTTTTGAAAATAAGAGGCACTTAGCACAGTGGTAAGGCTTTCACTTTGAAATCGTCAGATTGTGTATTCGATCCCATGCCATGGCAATGATAGTGTGTGAGGACGAGCTCTCACTTGACCTCCAGCTTCAGGTCTACCACACCCTGACCAAATTTGGCTGCAATAGTGGTACCACGTGAAAGTTCTAGACGCAAAAAAGCGGCCTCGAGTCGCAGAAAACAGCTTCGCTCAGCAAAATAACACTGTCTGGAATGTGGGGAGATAAAACAGATGGACTATCCTCGACAGGACTGTTAAGGCCTACTGATAGCTCCTCTGCGATTCGCGGGAACTACAATTATTACTATAATATAGAGTAATTTTGAGGTGCCCACGCAAAACCAAACGCAGTTTTATGGTCAAACTTTCCAAAAATTACGTAGGAACATTTTTTCAGTTTGTTTTGTTTCGTCAAAGTTTTGCCCGCAGTTTTTCAAAATTTGGTCAAAATATGGTCTTTATTGTGGTTTGACGGCCCACAAAATCCAATTTTTTTAACAAAAAAAAAACAAAGTTTTTAGTAAATGATTGCAAAAAACCGCTCCTCACTTGAGAAATTTCTAGACCCGCATTGTTCTTAGGTCTCTTGTTGTTTTGTTTGGCTTTAGAGTAAGCTGTGTAGTTTTTATTTTTTTCAAGCTCCTACAAATTTGAAACTATATTTTTTTCAGGATGAAATTGGACTACTTCAAAACATTTTTTTCATTTTTGCTGCTGTATTCTGTAGTATATTTATTAGTATCTGTTTTATTTTTTGCTTGCAATGGTAAGAAAACTCAAAATCTAGCATGAATAGGTGTTCCCCATTACGTTTTAGAAGAATGTACAATCTTGCAGGGGCGGATTTAGGGCGGGGGGCGGGGGGGGGGGGGCGGACGTTTCCTCTTTTCAAGGATTCGACCCCCTGCCGACCCAAAGGGTCCCCCTTTGGTATCTTTTAACAAATGCATTTTTGGCCAACCGACCCTAAAATTTTTCTAAAGGAGCCTTTGGCGCCAATATATTCTATTTTTGAGGGGGGAGCGCGCGCCGAAAAAACGCAATTTTTTGGTCAAACTTTTCCAAAAACTGCCTAAAAACGCCTTTTTTGGAAGGTTTTTTCAAATTTTTGCCTGCGGCGCAGCAAATGTTGCCAAAAAAGGGACTAAATCATGCGTAGGGAGAGCTCAAAAATCAATTCAGCCGACCTAAAAAAAACGTCGACAAAATTTTCGATTTTTTTTTGAAAATCCGCATGCCCCCCCCCCCCTCGAGAAAATCCTAGATCCGCCCCTGCAATCTTGCAAGATTTTTGCATTCCGATTTGCGACTCAGAAAACAACAGTTTGCAAGAGTGTCACATGGTTTCATTTGTTTGCAGAACTACCCATGAATTGCATTCCAAAAACACTAAAAATGTTTTGCAGAGGGTCAGTAGCACGCAAGTTGTCTCAATTATTGGTCTCAAAAATTGCAGATCCAACGAGAATTGTAAAAACAAAACTTTTTGAATTGAATTGAGCATTTGTTATAGCAGCAAATGTCTCCATAACCGAAATGAACGTTTTAATCTGGCGAATGAATTTTTTGAATAGTTACTTTTTCTTATAATTAAAACAAATAATATAGTCTCGTAACAACTAGTTATACAGTTTTTCATACCTGATCAGAAAGACTATTAAAGCAAAAAAACTAATTATAGAGCCCGAGCGAAACAAATTGAAACAGACAAAAAAAATGCATTATTTATTGTCCAATTCGTGCCTTTAGTATTTAGTAATTTTTGAAAGCTCACATTTTTTTTAAAAAAAGCACCAAAAAGCAATTTGAAGAACAAAGAACCAATTAATACAGCTGAAATTGTTTAACTGAAAAGTAATGTAACGCCTT